CGCTGCCCACCTCTGCTTCTTTTGCCATCTCTTGGATACCAATTTGTGACAATTTGGCTCCATTTTTCTTGACGGTTCCTAAGCATGTGTCCAGTCCATCTCCACTTTTGTAAGTCTATTCTTTGTAACATAATCAGGTACCTGGGTTTTGTTCCGAGTGTCTTCATTCCTGACCCGGTCGGTTTTCTTTATACCAATCATGCTCCTCTCCATTGCTCATTGGCATGTTAACAATTTATTTCTGTGTGAAGCTGTGAGGGCCCGAGATTCGCATCTGTATGTTAAGCAGGGAAGAATACACATTTCGAACACTTTTCGTTTTCCTGCCATTCCCAACTCTTTGCTCTTCATTATTTCTTTTAGTGACCAATACTTTTACCACCCATTCGCTATTCTTTTATTTATTTCCTTGGAAGTTAGGTCCTTCAATGATATGATTTGGCCTAAGTAGTTTCTTCCACGTATTTTAGTACTTCACCGTCAACAACTATTGGTATCTGATCCCTATTGGACATTATTTTGGTTTTCTCGGTGTTCATTTCCAAACCAGCTTTTTTACTTTCATTTGATAGATCTTGTGTCATTCTTTCAAGTGTTTTGGAATTCTCTTCGAATAAAACGATATCATCGGCGAATCTGAGGTGGTGAAGTCTTCTTCCATTTATGTTCAAGCCCATTGCATCCCAGTTTATTTGTCGAAATATATGTTCTAGAGCCGAGGAAAACAGCTTTGGAGAAATAGGGTCACCTTGTATGACTCCTCTTCTTATAGGGAACTCATCTCCTAGTGTTTCGAGGTATATTCTTGCTGAGCATTCATCATAGACTTGTTTTAGAATGTTTATGTACGTTTTGTGAATGCCTTGCCTTTCTATACTCTCCCAGATAATTTCTGGGTATAAACTGTCAAATGCTTTTTTTATAATCTACAAAGGCTAAGTAGAGTGGTTTATTACATTCATTGTACCTTTCGAGAACCTGTTTAACCGTGTGGATATGGTCAATGGTTGAAAAGTTACGTCTTAAACCCACCTGTTCTATTGGTTAATTTTCGTCTAATTGAAGAGTGATTCTGTCGAGAATTATTTTAGCGAATATTTTGTAAATGTTCGACATTAAGCTGATTGGTCTGTAATTGTCTATTTCAACTTTTGCTCCGCTCTTGTGTATCAATATGATGTGTGATTTTTACCATTGATACGGTATTTGACCTCTATATAATAATTCAGTAAACATTCTTGCAAGTATTGGACATAACTCCTTAGATGTTCCTTGTAGAGCCTCAATTGTAATCTTGTCTGGTCCGGGTGCTTTATTTAGTTTTTGTGAGCTTAAAGCTTCGTCTAATATAGATAGGGGCTTGTCATGTGTTGTAATAATCGTTTAAAACTTTTTATGCAATGATACTTCTCTACTGTAGAGACGTCGGTAGAAATCAGTGGCACACTCTAAGATGTCCTTACATTTAGTATATGGTTTATTCTGTTTTCTGATTTCGGGGATCCATTCCTTGGTAACTTGCCATAGCTCTTTAAGTGCCTTCCTTACTCCGCCTGATTTTATGATGTGCTTATCGATAATTTCCAATCTGTGTTTCTTCCGGTCATTTTTAATGGCTTTATAAATAGTTTTACTTAATGCGGCAAGCTCTCTTTCTTTGAGTTTTCAGTCTTTCCAAGTTTTTGACATTAATTTTTTTCTCTCCTCTATAAGTTCGATTGTTTCTGTATTTGATTTACGTTTTTTGTCTTTTGAAGAAGTAGATGTGCCACTCAGTTGGTTTTCTATTAAGTTGTACCTTGTCTGTAGATCTAGCTCTTTCCAGCTCTCCCTTAGAGGTGTGCTATGCTTTGAAAGAGGAGAATAAGGCATTTTGATTTCTTTCACTTTGTTACTTACTTTGAGATTTTCCGTGATTATTTTGCTGATTTCTTTGCAGGTATCAACAGAAGAGATGAACGAACCATACGATGGTTAGTGTTAAAGTTTAGTGTTTGAATTACTTCAGTGTTTGTGAAAGCTCTATGATTATTAGTTGTAATATAGTACATTTCGTTCCTATATTTTCCATCCGGTGATTTCCAAGTCCATTTGGTTTTGCATTTCTTAGAGACTGTTTAGTATAGTTAAATTAGTTTCTAGCATGAAATCAATCATTTTTTGCCCATTCTTGCTTCTCTTACTGTGACCGTATCTACCACGAACATTCTCTTCACCACTGCTTCTTACTACAACCTGTGCATTAGTCACCCATTACAATGATATGGTTATTTTTTACTTTAATTATTGTTTCACTGAGGGCTTGATAGAACTGGTCTAAGTCGCATGGGTTAGCTTGCTCTGTTGGGGCATAAATTTGTATGATTACCCAATCCTTGCTATAACCAGGTAATATAAATGTCATATTGACATAGGCTATACGGTCAGATATGCCTCTGAACTCCTGTATTTGATTCTTCAGCGAGGCTTTAATAAGGAATCCGACCCTTTGTCCCGGAATTATACCTTTATAGTAGAGTATATATTGATTACGGTCTTCGATTGATTCTCCAAGTCTGCGCATTTCGCTGGTCCCCAATATGTCCCATCGTAGTTCCGATAGCGCGATTTCAAGCTCCTGAAGGTTTGCTTCTGTTCTTAGAGTTCTTGTGTTAAGAGTTAATATTTCTATTGGACCTCTTCTTTTAGAACCTGTTTTTGTTATTAGAGTTTGTTTTTTATTCGATAAACTATCGCTGGAGGGTTCTGGTCTAAAGCTCTCGCGGCGACCACTCGTGTTGAAAGCTGTGTTTAATGTTTTTGTAGTTTTCTTCCTATTGCTTTAATAGGTGTGGAGGGGGCACTATTTGTTGCTATTCCGTAGACCCCATGGTTTCCTTAACCTTCTTTGTCATATTTTCCTTCACTTTTGTTGTTGCCATAAATGCTTTAGTCCTATTCCTTTTAGAAGTCTGAGTAATGTTATTGGTAAATGGAGAGTTGGATGTTCCAGAGTTTTCTGGTGATACCGATAAATTTCTCTTGGTGGATTTTGTCCTTAAGAATTATAATTTTATCATACCCGATGACTGCATTGTTTCCTTGCTTTATTTCTTTTGCCAGGTCTTCCTTTAACTGTTTTCGTTTTTCTAATACTTTCTTAGGATAATCTTCCATAATATAGTAAGGAGAGTTTTTTAGAGCTTTTTTATTGCTTAAAACCTCAATTTTTCGGCCCATTGTTGTAAATGATATTATAACTGGTCTTGCTTTCTCACCAATTTTTCCTATTCTTCGAACAGATTCTATTTCTTGTTTTTCGCAAGTTATTTTCATAAACTCTTATTATTTCCAAAACGGTATCTACCAGATCAAAATATGAACCCTTTTTTTCCTCAACTCCGAACAACACCAAATTTTTCTTACGCAGCTGTCTCTCAATTTTTTCCAGGGCCATTTCTTGTTCCGCGAGTTCCCGCAGTAGTTTAGTTTTGTTTCAATATTTTTAAATTTTTCGTTTATATTGTTATTGATGTTTGTTGTGATATTTTTTCCATACCTTTTATTTCTCCTTTTTGGGACATCATATCAGCCCGAATTTTAAGAAGCATGTCTTTTCCTCCATATTTCGTTAGAACAACAATAAGCTTATCCCGAATAAATGCCCTCTTTTATTTAGTAGTGATACCTTACTGTGATAGGCCGTGAAGTATTGTTGTAAATTTTCGTATTCACCGATAGATGGCGGTGAAGTGACCTTAGATCGATGAATTGATATTGCTTAGTCATTTTAAATTCTTAGGTTATTAAATCACTTATTTAACCGTTTTGGGTTTTTAGTCTGACACTTATTATTGATTTTGGTATTCAAATAATCAAAACGTTCCACAGTAAGAGTTTTAAGATATTTCACTGTATTTACTTTATAAAAGTCTATGACCGTTACAATCCTTTATAACACTTTTTATACTTACACTATTTAACTATAAGACACTGTTAAATCCACCTAACTTCTATATTTTTCTTACAATTTGCTCACTTAACTTGATAAATTACCATTAATACAACGGAGCCGTAATATTTATGTGCGTTACAGCTTACAGCGCCCTCTCACACCTCTTTTTTTATTTATTTTATTATTGCATAATACCTACTTATTTCAAGAGTTTTTTTATTTAACACTAGTTCGGAAAATACCTATGTGTGTATGTGGGAAGAACCAGCAAGAAACCCAGCGGGATTTTTTAAACATATTTCACTTTACAATAATTTTGTTTACACAATGTTTAAATTCATTTTAATACAACCAACATGGTAGCGATCACCTCATTCTCTGGGGTTATTTTCATTTATGTATTATTTGACATTATTATAACCATTTTTGTACAATTTTTCTTTAATAAAACATTTAAACTTGTTTATTGACAAATTTTGTAAATTTTCAGAGATTTTTTTGTAAAACAGTATACATTTCCCCATAAACGAATTACTAATTCCATTATAGTCTTTACGTTATAGCATGATGCGAGTGATACCCTTATTGTTTGGTGTGTCTACAGATGGCAAAATGTTAAATCGATTTAAAAAAGGCGACAAACGACACACAAAGCAAAGCAAAAATCAGCGATTAGCTATCGATTTAAAAATTAAAACCGAAATATATATTTCTTTATAAACTGCAATGTTAAATTAAGTTTAACACAAATTATGAGATAATATTGAATAAAACTATTATTTACGGATTTTATCGCGTTTAATTACTATTTTAATTTATTTTTTTTAACTATCCCGACGTTTCGGGTGCTTTACAGCACCCATGGTCACGGAGGGGACTGAGATGTTTGACGTCCCAATGTCATAGTTAATCCGGCTTCCTTTAGTTTTTGAATATTAATTTTTGGTCCGATTTACACAAAACGAGCTTATTTTATTAAAAAAAGGTCTGTCGGTCTTTTTTATCAAGATTTGTTTAAATTTTACTTGAATTAAGTGGAATGAAATATGTTAAACAAATGAAATACCTGTGGTGCTCTCCCATTGAAGATCAAATTATTCATTTTGCTCAAATTTTCTGCAGACAAAATAACCTTCGAAACTTTGTCAGGAGGCGTATGATTTTCTACTGGATCAACCTGTAAAATCATTATTTGGCTAAGGTAATATTTATAAACCTTAACACAGTACTACAAGACATCCTTAACTATTAAGCTACCGTCATTTCTATACTATGGATCCCGGATAATCAAACTCTATTCTGCATACAATTACTACCTACCTATTTCTGCACTGCCTTGTTGGTCTAGTGGTTGTAGTAGTGTGACTGCTGATCATAAGGTTCTGTGTTCGAATCTCGGGTCGGGCCAAAAACAATCAATTATTGAGTTTTCCGTCAAGGAATTCTCAGTAGTTGCCCGGAGTCAAGAAGTTGGCGGTGTCTCACCCCCGTGCCTCGGAAAGCACGTAAAGCCGTTGGTCCTGCGCCTGATCTCTCTCCGGTCGTGTCGGTTTACCGTCCCATCGGATTATGAGAGTGAGGGAATAGAGAGTGCACCTGTGCTTGCGCATACACTTGGGCACTATAATGTTGTCCTGCGCCGATGGCTAGTCTCCGCTGAGGCAGGCCGCCGTGGCCGGAATTCGGTTTAGAGGATTATTACCTATTTCTGCAGTGTCTATACTATATATCTATATGGTGTGTTCCAGTCGGAAGGGTACAGAGAGCCAGTTAAATATAGACTGTAAGGCATTCCTTGGTTGTCCTCAGAGGTGTCAATGCATCTCTAGGCTTCTTCGTTTGAAGTTGTCTTCAGATGTTGAAGGACTACAGTAGCCCTTTACTATCAGATGGACTATAAGTATGTTTGCCACTTCAATTTAAAAAAAGTATTATATAGTAGTAAGTGTTTCAACACTTACAATCAAATTCGATCGTAGTAAAGTAAAGTTACAGCCTATATACGTCCCACTGCTGGGCACAGGCCGCCCCTCATTTCTGAGAGGGTTTTAGGGCAAGGAAGTGTCCGCCGCGCTGCCCCATGCGTGTTGTCGAACTTCACATGTCTTGGAAATACTTTTTTTTCCTTACTCCTCATACATGCAGGTTTCCTCACGATGTACCCTTCACCGCCGAGCTAGTGGTGGTACACATTTGTTCAAACTTAATGGCGGCTCGGAACATCGTACGTTCCGATGCGCAGAACACGATTTTTGGGTATCAGCGGGATGTGGTGGCGGGGCACATCCCCGCGCGCGTTGCCGCGCGACCTCTGTCTCATACGCACTCACGCGACGCGTTTGCTTTTAGTTTTTGAGTTACGTACACTCCTACTTACGTACAGTTGAGCCCATAATTTGTTACGTTTTTTTGTTTGTTTTTGTTTTGTTACGTTTTTTTTGTTTGTTTTTGTTCCGTTAAGTTTTTATTGTTATTGACTGTTTTGTTTTCATCTGTGTGTTACACACATTAAGTTTTAGACTGTTGTTGGTTGTGAGAAAGTACTTTTATTATTTTGTTTAAATATACCTCGCGGACGATACAACGTTTTACGCGGGCAAGCCAGAAAAATGGTGTATAATGTACAATTTATGAAAAAGGAGAGTGAAGACGGCATCCAAATTCCTCTGGAGCTCGTTCAAAAACGAGCCGCAGCAGCTACAGGCGTCTCACTAAGGACTGTACAAAGAATAGCTGCAACAGCAAATGAGTCGGAGATGGTAGCCGTCTTTCGTACTTCTGGCAAAAAAGGAAGGGAGTCAAGAGAGTGATGAATATTGATAGCTTCGACCAAGTTGTTATCAAAAGGTGCGTGCACAACTTTCACGTGACTGAAAAAGAGTTGCCAACACTTAAATAATTACAAAGAAAATTAAGACGACATAAATTTCAACGGTTCTGTAACCAGCTTAGGCCGAATATTGAAACAATTAGTGTTTCAATGGAAGAACACCCAAAATGAGAGAAAAGTATTAATAGAGCAGTCTAATATTCGTTTACAGCGCATTGAATATCTGCATAGTATTACAAAATATGGCTCGGAAGGTAGACCCACTATATATACCGACGAGTCTTATATCGATTCTTCCCACAGCATGTCAAAGGCTTGGGGAGATGGGTCACAAATGGGAGTTAAAAAGAAAATTTCGAAGGGTCAAAGAGTTGTAATAGTGCACGCGGGTTCTGAAGCCGGTTTTGTACCCAACACACTTTTAATGTTTAAGGCGGGGACTATCATGACAACATGAATTATGAAAATTATGAAAAATGGATCAAGAATCAACTCGTTCCAAATTTCCAGCAAATTCAGTCGTTGTAGATAATGCTTCTTATCACAACATACAAGAAGATCCTGCACCTACCTCAAACTCAAGAAAAGCAGACATGCAATCATGGCTTCGTGAAAAAAATATTGAATTTGAGGAAACAATGCTGAAGCCACAACTATACAAGTTAATTGCAAAGAATAAAGAACGCTTCAAAAAATTTAACATCGATAAAATATTGAAAGAGAATAACCACTTAGTTTTACGCCTCCCCCCTTACCACCCCGATTTAAACCCCATCGAGATGGCATGGGCAGCAATAAAACAATACGTCGCAAAAAAAAAACGTTAACTGGAACGTAAATTCAGTCATGGAATTGGTCCAGCAAAAAGTTAACGAAATGGGGGAAAATGAATGGGGGGCATTGTGCCGAAAAGTGATCAAGATAGAGAAGAGTACAAAAAAAAGTGACGTTGTCGTTGATAGATTGACGGACGAATTTATAATCCATGTCAGCGACGATGAATCAGATACCGAGTCTGAGGAGGAATCAGATTCCAGCGAAGACGAAGGAAGTGATGTTTCCATGGAAGCTCCTTCCACAAGCAAAGACGTTTTTATAGTAGGGATACAGCCCTTAACTTAAAATGAAAATAAAAACTTTATATATTGTTTATAAAATCTGTTTTATTTTTAAACGACTTCAAAAAAGGATGAGGTTCTTAATTCATCTGAATTTTTCTTCCTTGAACCCTCCTCATACTTGCTAACTGACATTTATGCACTATATGTACCGAACTTAAAACACAAAACTTTCAGTTATTAAAATAATTAAATTGAGCCTAAATTTTTGTCTACTCGACTGTACCTGCGTGCACCTGCACTCGCAGCTAACTTCCGAACCGCCATTAAGTTTGAATCGAATAATAAATCAGTACTTAAAATTGCAATTAACAATTTTATTGGTGCCGGCGATCGAACCCGGGTTACTCGCGTTCTGTTATATTTACAGCGAGCGTTAACCATCTGAGCTACCACGGCTCTACGGATCCTAGTAAGAAAGGGAAACTATCCTAAATACGAATTTATCTCATTACATAACAGATTATTTATAATTCTGGCTTTGTGAACTCACTAAAGGGATAACAAAACAAGTCTATTTATCTGGCCATCAGATTAAGAGAGTGAAGAGCATGTTTCAGGGGCGCCTGACGGTATTAGATATTAAATTTAAATTTGTTGATAGTGCTTGATTAGATAACATAGTTCTATTGAAAGATATATAAATGATATTTTTTAAAGGTACGTTAGGATTTTCTTCTGTATTGTGGAAGTAGTTTAGTTTACATATTTTGCACAAGGATAAACATAATTACTTGTAGGCCATACAAATACTTGATGCGTGCGGGATTCGAACGCGCGGCCCTCGGCAGCGTAAGTCGCTAAGCCACTACGCGACGGAGCCGTCAAATTATAATAATAATAATAATTTTATTATACTCTCAGTTTTCGAGATATCCATGAGCAACTCGGGCTTGGATATTTTTAACCCAAGATCAAGGATATTCAAAAGAGCATAAAAAGAGCTTACAGTCATACACACTGATTCCTATGTCACATAGATTTTAATTTTGTTGTTTGTAAATTTTTTTTTTGTTTTATATAGTATAATGTACGGCATTAATATTGTTAAGCGTAGAGTAAAATATGAAAATGATGTGTCAACATACTTAAGAAAACAATCTACATATTTAATTACAAAACTACATTTTGAAAGCAGTTAGCTTTAACGGCCATATTGGTATAAACTATGTTACAGCCGTCAGCGACTTCCACCTTGAGTTGTAAAAACAAAAAATCATATAATTTCTCAATAAAATATAAATAGTTAATAAGATAGATTGAGATGATATCAAAAGACAAAGTGTTTACCTTTTTAGCAATTGCCCTGGTCTTTGTTCTCGTTGTCCTCGACGCCAACTCTTCAAACTGCTGTACTTTTTCTTTAACGGCCGAACTACAAATATATGTTACAAAATACTTTTAATATAATGCTATAATTATGAAATAAGTTAATTCGATTTTTAACCGACTCAAAAAGGAGAAGGTTTTCAATTAGTACTGTTTTTTATTATTTTTGTATGCGTGTTACCTCAGAACATTTTTCTAGGTGAACCGATTTTGATAATTCTTTTTTTATTTGAAAGCTGGCGCTTATCCTGTGGTCCTATATAAATTTGATCAAAATCTGACCAGTAGTTTTTGAGTTATATAATAGTTATGCGTGACTGCCTCGTTGGCCTAGTGGTTGTAGTAGTGCGACTGCTGATCATGAGGTCCTGGGTTCGAATCCCGGGTCGGGCCAAAAAATTAATTATTGAGTTTTTCCGTCAAGAAATTTTCAGTAGTTGCCCGGAGTCAGGAAGTTGGCGGTGTCTCACCCCCGTGCCTCGGAAAGCACGTAAAGCCGTTGGTCCTGCGCCTGATCTCACTCCGGTCGTGTCGGTTTACCGTCCCATCGGATTATGAGAGTGAGGGAATAGAGAGTGCACCTGTGCTTGCGCATACACTTGGGCACTATAATGCTGTCCTGCGCTGATGGCTAGCCTCCGTTGAGGCAGGCAGGTGGCCGAAATTCGGTCTGGAGGCATTATTAATATTTATGCGTTTTAATTGACTTTGACCATATTGACGATGTTCTCATTTTATTTATATTGAAGTCAGTTGTACAAAATTTTAGTTTATAATTGCAAGTCACAGTACATTATATATTGAGAGAGTTCACAACTGAACATCCTCCTCCATGATGGATGGAGTTCACAGTTGACACATGGTGCACAAGCATTGGGCAACTGTAGTTTTTGAGGTGTTATCAAGGAGATACAGCTGCCCATTTTGTTTCAGCATCTCTGTCATCTCTTACTAGACCCAAGGGATGATATTACTCTTACTCTACTACACGTCGGTGTTTTGCAATTTAATATCATTATAAACTACCGATCCAACCGGACTTCGCATGGGTGATTTCTGGATCTCGACAAACAGCGCCGCCTACCGGACACAATTAAGTTTTTAAACCATCCCGACAACTACTCTAATACTCAGAAAAAAATTCATTAAAATAGGTCGAACCATTTTCGAGTTTTTGCGAGACTAAAGGAAAGCAATTGATTTTTATACTGGATGAATTTTTACCGTCTGGGAAAAATAGGGTGTAACAGGTGAATGGAGTAGAAGCCTATGGCACAGATATTTTACAAAAAATTAAAACAACAACTTTGAATTAAAGAAATAAATCAATTAAAATCTATTGAAACTCAAATCATATCTACGCTAGTTTTACGAGGTGCAATAAAACAATAAATTCTTTGTCAATATCCTTTCGCAGGGTCACAGGTACAAGGACAAAGCCGACCGCGGTCACAAAATTCTTCATAATTTTTGTAAAATACCAGCACCATAGACTTCTACTCCATTCACCTGTTACACCCTATTTTTTCCAGACGATAAAAAGGTCATCCAGTATATAAGAAGATGAAGCAAAAGAGGTGTGTCAAGATTGTGACAAATGCAAGTCCATAGACTGCTTACTCATCTGGGTGACAGACGTAAGTGTATCTATGTATGTAAGTTGTAAAATATGCTCAAGGGTTTATCTTAATCATAGAATACTATAATACACAATAGAAGGGCTGTCAACCTTATTATGTACGAGGATAGGCGTCGCCGAGAGCACACATACAATCAATTACGTCGTATTATCACTACTACAAACTCGATTCTTTGTGTTGACAGACTGAGTAAATTTACACATTTTAAACTTTTAATTAATTTATGTGTGCATATATATATATATTTTTTTTTTTTTTTTTATATATATATATACATATAATATGTGCAAAAACATAAGACAACTGTCTTATTGTAGCTGCACTATTTCTGTGAATGTTGTATATACCTTTAAAGACGAATCATTTTGAACAAAACCAATTGTGTTATATTTAACAATGTCTAGTGATAAGCCAATGGCGTATCTGTTAAATAAATAAACATCGTTAAAAAATCGTTTAAATTTTAATACATTGGTATTTATTTGTAATTAGTGTGCAATTTGCCATTTTCTAAATAATTTTCATGCGAAATTTGGAAACGATTTTTAGGTCAAAACACATCTCGTGTTGACGTTTATATGTGTGAATTGACATGTTAGTGACTACACGGGCTCCGCCCACTCCCCCGTTCTATTATGTATGTATTATAGTATCCTATGATCTTAATCAAATAACATTAAAAAGTTCTTTAAATAGCCCACAACCAATAAAAATTGAACTTACAGTTGTTAATTTATGCCTGTAATTCGATAAATTAAAAATACTTAAGCAGGAACAAAAAACACCCCCAGTTAACTTACCTAGGTTGGGCTGCAGGAATGCCTTTTTTGGGTGGTGTATGAACGTCTGGCGTATCACTATCGTCCGTTAAGAGAGAATTGTCGTCCGTCACATTTGTTGTTAGTGGTACTGCAAATTTGTATTGGATATTTCAATTTGGGTTCATACAGTAAACAAGCATTTTAACCAATTTATTTAGATTTTTTTAAATTCTACAATCATTTAAGGGACATTTACCGCTTAGCGTATGTCAGTCCCATCATCCCCAACATACATCATTTCCTTATATAACGTTAATTATTACACTACGTGTACCTACGTCAGTTCTGTTCAAATTCAAGACCCTTTATTATATTACATCTAAGAGACTCAAATCGATCATATTCCATAAAAAAATATTGTAATATATACACTTATTTTATATTGTGAAATAAGACGAATAGAATAGAATGGAATATTTTTAATACAATGTAGATTAAAGTAATTCTTATTGAGTAATCTTTTATTTTTATCATTGGTTCATAAAGAAAACCTCTGTTGGAAGAACCAGCAAGAACCCCAGCGGGACTTTTTAAAAAAAGTATATTATACAATAAGAAAGGGTTTTTAGTTTTAATTTTTTTTGGGTGAAACCCTAATTCTTTTTCTAAAATATAAGTAGCCTAAGATCAGCCAGTAGTCCCGTCAAAATCATTCAGCCGTTTTGGAGGTTAGCCAGAACAGACACAAAAAATTTAAAAATTGTTTTTTTTGTCGTCATAAGTACCTGATTTACCACGTGCTCGGCGGTGAAGGAAAACATCGTGAGGAAACCTGCATGTGTGTGAAATAAAAATAAAATATTTCGAAGACATGTGAAGTTCGCTAACACGCATTGGGGCAGCGCGGCGGACACTTCCTTGTCCTAAAACCCTCTTAGAATCGAGGGGAGGCCTGTGCTCAGCAGTGGGACGTATATAGGCTGTAACTTTAACTTTAAGTACTGTATATACTTTCATATGTATTTGGTAAAAATTAAAGTATCTGATTGTAATGTTATATCGACATTACAATCAGACACATCAATTTTATTTATTTGTATTGATGATGGTTCTCGACTACTTTCCCATCTGATGGTAATTGGTGATGCAGCCCAAGATGGCAAAGCGCACTGACTAAGCATAACAAATAGCCTCTTCACGCTTGCTTTGAAAAAGTAAAAATATAGTAAGGGTTTTCTTACGTCTTTCAAGTACAACAGTAGCGTCCATAGCTACGTTCTTCGGTTTGTCCTGTACCATAGTCTCGCGGTTGAAGGGTTCGATCACGACAGTTTGATTCATATTATTCTGTGAATTTAATATATCATTAATTCAAAATCCTATCAAAAGTTCAATGCCAAAAATAGTTTTTTTCAGGCTCACCTGATGGTAGGTGACCACCGCCGCCGCTTTTAGTCTACCCCAATAAGTGTAAACCAATAACACTGGTCGACATCAAAATAAGAGCAAAAAAATGTATATATGGAAGTTATTACGTTAGTTACGTTAAATCCAAATATGTAGTTAGAATTCACCTAGCACGTCTAGTTTCGACGCAATATCATTTTTTGTTTGCACTAGAATTGTTTGCTTATAGTTGCAGGCAGCGGTATTTGTGAATCGTTGGTATGTACATGTATTTAGTTGTGTTCTGAGTCTGTCTCTATGTTAGAAAGAAACAACAAGCTATTGTTTACTGCTCTAACTAACTGACATGCGCGAAGCGCGAACGCAGTGATTGTTTTGAACAAGTGAGCGACGTACGTGAGCTGATAGAAGAACTGCTTTCGTCGTATCATCAACTTGGATGCAATATGTCTTTAAAAATTCACTTCTTGCATTCGCATTTAGATTTTTTCTCAGAAAATTTTGGTGCCGTGTCTGATGAGCATGGTGAAAGATTCCACCAAGACATTGCACATATGGAAAAAAAATACAGCGGCAAGTGGACCCCAGCAATGCTAGCTGATTTTTGCTGGGAAATAAATCGAGAAACAGCAGTTAAAATGTATAAAAGAAAGCGATCTACCAAATAGTTATCATTTTTATGTTTTTTTTTTTATATTTTTTAATTCATATTTCATTTTAATTTTGTGTTGTAAAAGTTATCAATCAGTGTAAATTTTTTCGTTCTATAATATATACATATTTAATATATATATATATATATATATCAATACCGATATTTTATTTAAATGTAAATATCTGAAAAGCTAGAGGTGATGTTGAAATCTTTAAACAGATTTGGACTCAACAAATCAAAGCCAATAGAAATCACATAGTAAATTTTTGCTCCCGGATTTTTTTTTGCCGACCAGTGTAATTACCGCATAAGGGACATTTGCCGTAGTTACAACATAACACTGTATAACTTAGTACTACCGTGCAGTGGTAGTGTATAAGTATATCCACTACCCCACATCATCCCGTGGGTGTCGTATGAGGCGACAGAGGGAAATAAACCAGGAGGTGGGCAGCAGAGTCTTTCTAATAATGATAGAGATTAGAAAACTGGGGTTGCCAACCATGGCAACAATAAGGAAAGGCCTATGTTCAGCAATAGAATACTATAATACACAATATAATATCAATCTTATTTTGTACGAGCATCGGCGTCGCCGGGAGCACACATACAAGCAATTACGTCGTATTATCACTGTCACAAACTCGATTCGCTGTGTTGACAGACTGAGCAAATTTACACATTTTAGACTTTTGAATTAATGTTCAAGATGATCATTAAATTTTAATACATATTTGTTTGTAAACAGCGTGCAATTTAGCATTTTCTAAATAATTTGCATGCGATATTTGGAAACGATTGTAACGTCAAAACACATCTCGTGTTGACATTTATACGTGTGAATTGACGTGTTAGTGACATTTTAGTGGCTACACGGGCTCCGCACATCCCACGTTCTATTATGTACGTATTATAGTATTCTATGTGTTCAGCGGTGGACCTTATTAGGCTGTAACAATAACAGTACCACAGATAGTGTTTAATTTGATTTTAATTTATATGTATACTCAACTGTCACTAAATAGAGGAAGACCTGGTAAGGCATGCGTAAATTGATGGATACAGGTGGCTCAGGACCGTGCTTTGTGGTATTCCTTGGGGGGAGGCCTATGTTTAGCATTAAACTTAAGAAGGGCTGTGATGATGATTGATTTGTCGAGAAGTAGCAGCGTAGAAGAATCTGCTACTTCGTTTCATCCCCTGTACATACTAAGTGGCAACAGAAGTAAACACAAATTAAAAATAAAAATTGCTCTCTCTCTAAATAGTGATAGGCTTATGCCTAGCAGTTGACTTTGAAGGGGCGATAAAAACATTTACAACCCGGAATTAGTCTTCTGTTAGCACCAATCACCGACTACTCAACAAAGAACCAATCAGTCATGGAGATTAGTTCTCTTAAACAAACATAATCTGGAGATCTATAAAAATGTTTACAGCACATTCATAATTGCTGACGATAATAATGTAGAAATACTGTAAGTTATTAAAGTACTAAAACTCTTGGGGCAGTGCCTCATGGTGGTTTGTAGTATTTTCCAATTGGCTCGATACGATGTTGCATCCCTTTGCATTTACCACAGGGAGTGCTCTGAGGAATTGTTCGGATTAATACTTGCCGCCAAATTTCACGAATGCAATCTTGACAAAACTCACATTACCATCCTCATCATCGGGATACTTGGCGGTCCACCACTGTATGTTTTACTAGAAGTTTTCTTCCTTGTACGACTCTGTGGAATTTCGATTTTTCCGGACCGATACGATTTAGGGACCTTCAAGAAAAGAGCTTATTCCTTTCTAAAAGGCTGACAAAGTACCTGTAATTCCCATGGTGTTGCGGTTGTTCATGGGCGGCAGTAATAACTTATCATCAGGTTAGCCGCATGCTCGTTTGCCCCCTCTTCTCTAAAAAAAATAACCATCTTGTATAGATACTCAATTTACAATATCCAAGCCGGAGATGGAAGTCGGCTTAAAGTCTGCAAGATGTTTGAGACTGTATTCGCCAATCTGCCTGCCTGATGTGATGATTGCGAATCCTTCCTATAATGCTCTCCAATTATCTATTTATCTATAGTAGTTTAACACTGAATGAAACTTACCACATTTTTCGGTGTGAGGGGTACATGATTGTACGCTGCGTTCGACAAAACAACAGTCTTATCAAAATCACTGTTTAAAGTGACAGTTGCGTTTAACTTCGGTGCCTCTATTACTAGTGTCGCGTCCAAAACGTCTTTACCGTCCGTATCTTCCATATTTTGTTGATCTAAATTAGGCTTTGTCACTTCAGAATTACAGTCTTCTTTGTCATTAGCTTTTTTCGATTTGTTAGTTTTTTCATTTGGTAATTTCATAGCTGCTGTCTTAGTGTTAAGTTTTGTTTTCTTTTGAAGTATTGGCGATTGTACTTCTGGTTGGGATAATGTTTCTTTATTAGGCGATATAGTTTCTGGTGCTTTAGGTTGTGCATCCTCCTTCTCGGCTTCTTTTTCACTGGAAAAGTTACAATTATAATTAACAGTTAATAATGATTTTTTATAGGAGAGGGGGCAAACGAGCATGCGGCTCACCTGATAGTAAGTCACTACCGTCGCCAATGAACAACTGCAACACCAGGGGAATCGTACATGCGTTGCCGACGTTTAAAAGTGGTAAATTAAAAAATTAAAAAATGACTTTCAATAAGTATTTTTATAATAATCTATGTTGGATAAAATCATTCATTTCATTTCATTAAAAGAGAGTAGGCTCTTTTCTTGAAGGTCCCTAAGTCGTATCGATCTGGAAAAATCTCTGGTGGTAATCGATTCCACAAGGAAGTTGTGCGAGGAAGAAAACTACTTTGAAATTGCTCAGTGCGATAAAATGAGCAGAGATGGAACATCTCTTTGCAGTGCCAGTAAGTCAAGCCGATCAGAAAAAGCTCGGTCGCCGACGATTCGAACCTCTTCGCTGGATGCGATCAAATGGAAGGAGCTGTCACTGGAGAACCCCAGCCCAAAAGATGTGAACAGTATTCCATGTAAAGCCAATCCTGGGCCTTGCAAAGTTGCAGGCGGTGGGCCGGCATGAAATACTGTCTTGCCCTGCTGAGCACGCCAAACTTCTTAGAGGCCAATTTGGTATTCCCGGTAATATTGGCATGGGCGGTGTATAAAGTATTATTACAAGTGCTGTCGTCCACATATCAATGAATGTTACCAATCTGCAACATATCATTGATATACAGAAGAAACAGCGTTGGTGATAGCAAGCAGGCTTGTGGAACACCAGCGTTAATGGGCTTATAATCGGACCAGGAGGTGGAATTATACTTCTTTTTCAGAGCGCTGGTGTTTGCATCCCGAGACGTTGATGCGTTAACCTAGGCCCGGTAGCACTTTTGCTTGTGGCGTGATGCAATTTCACTGGAGTTACCAAACCATGGCTGGGTTCTACCTCCGATACAGACGATGGAATAAATAGTTCCATTCCCTGAGGCACCACATCAGCGACAACGTTGGGATCATCCTGCAAGAAGCAAGTCCTTCAAAGGGTAAGCTGCACAAAAAGACCGTATCCTGTCCCAATCAGCCAACCTATAGTGCCAAGCATGGCCGTAACTAGCAGAACCCAACTGCGATGGTAGTGTGTGTGGTACTGTACTCCAACCCACTCACCAATCTTGGCAACTATGATAGATATCCCCCCTAGGAGGCAATTTATGGGGGAGGCCTATTTCGGCAGTGGACCTTAATAAACTATAACGGTAACAATAAATAATGACCATAATGTGTATGAACATTATGCCAGTGAACATCAATGAAAAATACACATGGTTCTCCACAGCTGGCAAGTATGAGGAATTTTAGTAGAAATATCATATGGAGCATACTCCTTTGAGCGAGTAGGATAATGCTCAGGAATGACTGACTCAGTGATTATGACTGCACCATGAATGGGCCAGCATTGTTGTTAGAGAAGTAAGAGTGAAAAACGAGCACAGTGCACTTGGTGAACCTAACACTTACCCTCGATTAAGAATAAAAATGCGATTATGTTGTTAGTCCTGAGCACTAAGATGGAACACCACATTACTAGGCATAAAGGTCTCCATTTCTCCATTTCGGATAGGGCAGGACCAGACTCTCACAGAACATCAGTGAAAAATAGCAGTGTAATGCTGCTGTGTTTCGTATGGTGAGTGTAGAGTAACTGGAGACCTTTTTACTGGAATCGAGGCATTCCATCTTAAGCATTTGCATTTTGATTCCTAATTGAGGATAAATGTGGATGTCCATGGGCCACAGCATCCACTTACCATCAGTTAGACGGTGTGCTCGTTTGTCACCCAATGTTATGAAAAAATATATTAAGCTCATATTATGTGTGGCAAATGTGATTTCCCGGTTCACATAACATAACATAAACTCTCACGTCTTTCACCCAGAAGGGTAGACAGAGACTATGGATTTCTGTTTGCCACGAATCTGATACACCTCTCTCTTCGGTTGAGGGTGTTTTTAATTTAGTTTATCCCCAATATATCTATACACGATAAACTTTCTATTGCCAATTCCTCGCTTATTCTCTCTAGATGACCAAACCATCGAAGCATTCCTTTTATAATCCTGATCACAACATCATCTTGCAAGCCGCACTTGTTTTTTAAACAAAGTTTCTCACCGTCATTTAGATTCAGTCCTGACATATTTCACATCTGCTACATCAGGAACAATGAAAATATTTATTGCATACAGGCAAATTATAGTTTCTAGGCCCTGGGATTTCAATGTCAATATGGTATCATGGTGTATATGCCTGTTGTAGGCAGTCATTTGTCCAAATCTACTATATTAAATGTAACATTTTTGTACAGTAGTAACAGTTTCGTGCTATCACGAATCATGAGCACAATCTTGCCTCGCGCACTGATGTTTTTTTTGATATTTTGATAATTTCTATAGATAATATGGCTGGGTGCTACTATCTGGTTGGGATTCTATAATTAATAAAATTAAATCCCAACCCAAACATAAAACTACAAGACTTCAAGATACTAAAGTTCACAGTGCGTAAATCAAAACAAAATTAATAATTTTAAATCTGGAAGTAGCCGTGGTGAATTATGACATTGGGACGTCGAATACCTAAGACCCCTCCTCCTTCCCCCGATCATGGGTGCTGTAAAGTGCTTGAAAGGTGAGGAAGACAAAATAAGTTAATAAGTTAATATACGCAATAAAATCCGTATAAATCTAGTTTCATTTAAATATGTAGTGTTCGCGTATAAGTAATTATTACGCTCAAAGTTGTCTACACATAATAATTTACTACAAATTAAAGATGGGCGGAACATGTATTTCACCGAATACGAATATTCGGCCGAAAGTTCGGTAAAACTTTTACCGAACCGAATATTCGGCCGAACATTATTCGGCAGGATCACCTCGATCTCTAACCAATTTATGTCGGAACTTGTTACCGTAAAGCGCGCAGGATTAGCGCCGGACCCTGCCCCTCGCTCCCCCGTCACACCTAACATGTTATTGCATCATCTAGTACCTACTGAGCAAATTGCCGGCACAAGCTTGTTTTTACTATTTTTGTGAGAAAAAAGTATTTCGTTGTGTTATTCTCAGTGAAAATTGATAATTATATTATGATAAAAATAAGTGGCAACAGATCTACCATTTGGACTTATTTTAGAGAAACTGATAACCAAAGTAAAGTGAAATGTACTGATGTAATGTAATGTTTCTTTGTTTTATTCCAAAAACATTTTATCAAGTTTTCTATTTGCTATAATTGGAAATAAATCTACAGTGCATCAAAACATAACGCTATACAAGTAGATTTAGCCCATAAATAAAATATACTTTCAACAGTAAAATTATGAAAGACATCGCATTACTTCATTCATACATTTCAATACATTGGACACTATGACATTCGTTTTCATTGTTTGGTGATTTAGCCGAATATGCCGAATACCGAATATAAAAGGAATATTCGGCCCATCTCTACTCTACAAATGCTGGCTCAAGGAGTGATAAAAAAACTTACGCGGCTTTCTGAGCTCTTCTCGTCCTCTTCGGCCTTGACTTTTCGGTGGGAGATCCTTAAAAGAAAAAAAAAAACAGTGAAAATTTTGTTCTCAACAAATCTGATATTAACATATTAAAAATGGAATTACCAATTGCACTGTCTTGTGAACTTTGGGAGTCTTTACCATTTTCCGTACAGGTTTCTGATATTATCTGGAAAAAAAAAGTTCAGTTGATCAAGATTACAATTAGAGATGGGCCGAATATGGATTTCACCGAATACGAATATTCGGTAAAACTTTTACCGAACCGAATATTCGGCCGAACATTATTCGGCAGGATCACCTCGGTACCTAACCAATTTATGTCGAAACTTGTTGCCATAGCGCGTGGGACTAGCGCCGGACCCTGCCCCTAGCTCTCCCGCCACACCTTACATGTTATTGCATCATCTAGTACTGAGAAAATTGCTGGTACATGCTTATGTTTTGACTATTTTTGTGAGAAAAAGGTATTTCGTTGTGTTATTCTTAGAAAAATTCATAATTATATAATAAAAATGAGTGGCAGGAGATCTATTCTTTCGACTTATTTTAGAGAAATTGATATTAATGTAATGTTTTTTGTTTGATTTTAAAAACATTTTATTAAGCTTTATATTTGTTATAATTGGAAATAAATTGATAGAATCAGGCGTTACTTTGCGGAAATCCATTATAATAAAAAATAAAAATATAAATTTCTTTGCAACTTTCCGCTAAACATATAAAATGATGTGTCTTACCTGGATTGAAGCGCACCTCCCGCCCTCCCTCAATTGCATACACTAACTCCGTCACCACTAGCAGGGCATAGCGAAGCATCCTCAGGTAATATAGACTCTACGGCAGCTGACCGCTAAGACTCAGACTCACTTAGCGGTCAGCTGCCGGAGAGTCTATATTACCTGAGGATGCTTCGCTATGCCCTGCTAGTGGTGACGGAGTTAGTGTATGCAATTGAGGGAGGGCGGGGAGGTGCGCTTCAATCCAGGTAAGACACATCATTTTATATGTTTAGCGGAAAGTTGCAAAGAAATTTATATTTTTATTTTTTATGGAAATAAATTTACAATGCCTCAAAAACATAACGCTATACAAAGTAGATTTAACCCATAAATAAAATATACTTTTAACAGTAAAATTATGAAAGACATGGCATTACTTAATTCGTACATTTTAATACAGTGGACACCTTGAGTGCCACTTTAACGAATATTCGGTGATTTAGCCGAATATTCGGCCGAATACGAATATTAGGTAAAACTGCCGAATATGCCGCATACTAATATAGAGTAGTGGTACTAATAGAGAGTAGAGTATAGAATAATCTCTAATTACAATACAGCTGAGACACACTGCATAAACTAGCTAAAAGCTAAACTTTTTAAAGTTAAAGATTGTTATTATTTTTTCATATTGTAAAGGGAGAAAGAGAAATAAATAATTTTAATGGCCCGCCCGCGAAAATGATGCACTCTCACAGAATACCAATAGTGTAGAATACCAATACCAATAGTGAAATAGCAGCTTTATGCTGTTGTTACGTATGGTGAATGTAGAGAACCGGAAACTCTTTTTACTAGAATCGAGTTATTCCAATTTAGCAGTTTATTTACAAGTATTACGTGTCTTATTCAAAGCTTTAAAAATTTTAAAACACTGAAAAGTATATTGTTTTATTCATAGAATACTATAATACACAATAGAATGGCTGTCAACTTTATTTTGTACGAGGATTGGCGTCGCGAAGCCCGATTCACTGTGTTGACAGACTGATTAAATTTACACATTTTAGACTTTTGATTAATGTTCAAGATCATCATTAAAAAAAATCGTTTAAATTTTCATACATATTTGTTTGTAAATAGGGTGCAATTTGGCATTTTCTAAATAATTTGCATGCGAAATTTGGAAACGATTGTAACGTCAAAACACATCTCGTGTTGACATTTATACGTGTTAATTGACATGTGTGTGTGTGGCTAGTGGCTACGAGGGCTCCGACCACTCCCCCGTCCTATTATGTATGTATTATAGTATTCTATGGTTTTATTACTTGTTACAGAATAATTTTTTGAAGAGTTTTCTGAGAGTCCATCACACAAACGGTGTTGTGGGTTGTGTGTTGTTGTGTTGTGTATGGTGGTATATAACTTTCTCACGTACCTTCTTGCCGCGTGTCCGTTTTGGTCTGGTTTCCTTGGGCACTTCTTCATCCTCAGTTTCCGATTGCTTAGCAGCGCGTGAACTGGCGCGTGAACTGGCGCGAGAATTTGCACGAGTCTCGCGAGACGATGCAACTAAAAATAAAAAGTAAAGTAAAGTAAGTAAAGTTACAGCCTATATACGTCCCACTGCTGGACACAGGCCTCCTCTCACCTATGAGAGGGTTTTAGGGCAAGGAACAGTCCGCCGCACTGCCCCAATGCGTGTTGGCGAACTTCACATGTCTTCGAAATATTTTTTATTTCTCAGACATGTAGGTTTCCTCACGACGTTTTCCTTCACCGCCGAGCATGTGGTAAATCAGCACTTAAAATTGCAATTAACAATTTCATTGGTGCCGGCAGGACCCGGTTTGCGCGCGTACTGTGAAATTTGCAGCGAGCGCTAACCATCTGAGCCACCACGGCTCTACAAAATAAAAACATACAGGTAAATCTACCCATTCAAATGAAACTTTACGAACAGGTAGAGAGCAATGTTATGAAGGATCTAGGTTATATTTATATTTAAAACTTAGATATTTTTTTTTGAAAATAACTAAAAATGATAATGAGTTCAATAGAACTCTGAATAATTTACCTAAAACTTGTTAAATAATTCAAAATATATTACAAAAATTATAATAATGAACTGAACTAAAATAATAATTAAAATTATAATATTTACGATTAAAAATAATTATATACAATATAAAAGAAGAAACTATAATATAGAAAATCTAAAACTAAAAATTTTAATAGTCAAAAAGGAAAGAACCAGCCCTCTTGTCACGAGCAGCGACGACCATTCGTGGATACAGTTCCTTTAGAAATTACACTGCACGCGGACCCCACGGACCGATGATAGTCTCTACAGCAAATGGCACAAATATGTAGTCGTTTCTCAAAGACTCATATTTGCGCCATTTACTAATTTCGGCTGCCTCTGATGCCGCCCCGGTTCTAAAAGAGGTACCCTTGAGATGAGAGGCCTCCAAAGTGTCAACGCAAGTAGCATCCCACACTAGGGTCAGGTCTCCTGCCATCATCAGGATAAAATTACCATCACCACTAAAAATTAGTTAAATAAATGGTCGTTGACTATCTGAAATGTATAACTATTCACCAAAATATATAAAAGAATCTACGTGCCTTCACATTTTTAAGAATCAACTAAACATATCTTTAACCAAAATTTTTAATTTGGACAGTAAAATTTATTGAATATATCCGCAAAATTTTATACCCCACCCTACCACTGTCAATATAATGCAATGGAACTGAAATGGGCAGAGATCAAAGGTCAGTGAAAATGCGTAAATATTTCTTTTTTTCTTGACAATAAACAACCATACATACAATCTCACACTGACCTGCAAATAGCAAAAAACGTAAGAAAATATAAATTTCGCGGGCTACCCTGGCGTTTACACTTTAATGAGGGTATATTATAATTTTTTGTTAGCGATTCCTTCTACAAGTGTAGAATCCGAAATAGTGTTTTCGTCATGTAGAATGAATGACATGCATCTACCTTCGTAGCGCCTTAAATGATGAGTGATGACACTCTAGACTGACTTTCATTTCTTAGGTCATATTATCAAAGCAAGAAGTATTAAGTAAATTTTATAGTAGTAAAGTAGATTTTATAGAAATTTTTAATTTTTTTTAATTTTTTTTTTAATTTTCTGTCATTAAATTTTGATTAAATTCTTCTTCTCTTAAATGTAACATTTAAGAGAAGCATATTGCACGCCTCATAATCGAAGCGTTGAGGTTGTGTTCTACTCTCACCTAATGGAAATCCAGTAATTTTTCTGAGCTAAAATGTCTTTATTTTTTTGACTATTGCACTTTTAGAATGATAAAAATACACATGTATCGAGAAAAATCACTCGTTTTCATGTTTCTATTATTTTCTGCATTTAGTGTTAAAAAAACTGATTAAAAAAATTTTCCGAGAGTGTCCAGATGTATGTATGTGTGGATGGCGCACAATTACGGTCGTTAGAACTAATGTATCAAAATAATTCTTTTTTTATTAGGTTTAGTATCTCAACGCACAGGTTCCTTTTAAAAATCACTGTAATTTGGTCTCGTTAATTGTAATCAATGAAAATGTAAAAAAACAACTGGTACTTTTCTACAAAAAATATTCTCATGGATCTCTTCTTTCGTCTCAATATAGAAAAAGAGATATTTTTCTTTTTATATAATCAAATGAGATTATGAGGCGTGCACTTTTTTGTCATTATTTTTGTTACTAAAGTCTATCTAGTAAGTAGTGATTTATGCCAATAAGTATTTAAAAAATGTTGTTCGTCTTATTTTCTTTGGAATCTCTACCTAATTGTCAGTGTGCTATAAAACATCCACGAATTACGTGCCACGTGGTTAAAAGACCTTAAGTAGAAAGTATTCGAAAAATTCGTAATATTCGAATAATTCGAATAGTATGTAGGGAACTATTCGAATTATTCGAATAGTAGAATTGAACGAATACTGCAAGCCCTAGCAACAACACATCTCCCTTCACCGCTCAAACAAATGCTCCGTTTGTTGTAAGAAGCTTGTGGTCAGATGACCGCTCAAAACTGGGCGAATATTAAACAATATTAACACGTGAAAGAAGTTTTGTGTGACTGTATGTGCGATGTGCACTTGACAATTTCGTTTCCCAAAAACTTCGCAATGTGACGCATCAGGATACTGTGAAGAAAAAATATATAAAATGAAGATTCCGAAAGAAATGATAGGCTCAGAAGGGCTAGAACCCAGAGCCGTAAAGCAAGTTAAATAAAAAAAGGTATTTTGAACTACGTAGCGGATTTTGATGCGGTTTTCACCAATAGACAGAATGTTTCTAGAAGAAGGTTTATATGTAACACATGCATATTATACATATAAAGATAAAGAAAAGGCAAGAATTTATAACGCCACCTTGAAGCCTGTGTGGGTCGCTAGTTATAAATAAGACAGTGTTAGGTTTCTGGCAACACTAGATATTATGAAAAAAAATCTAATCTAGTTCATATATTGAAAAATATTCTCACCAGGCGGGGCAGGCTGTGTATCATTCTGTTTTCTGGTTCTAGTAGTCCTCTGTTTTCCTGTTTCCTCCTCTACTGGTTCTTCTGGTTTTTCTTTAGGAATAACTCTCCTGGGCTCTAGAAGTAATATTAATTTTCTTATATTAAAAAGTTTTAGAATTTGGATAGAGAAAATAAAATGCTAGGAGTTTCTCCGCGTAACAGAAATGAGGATATTCACAGTAGAACCAGTAGTCACAGTGGAGCCGTGGTAGCTCAGATGGATGGCGCCCGCTGAAAACTTGGCAGTACAAGAGCAACCCAGATTCGATCCCCGCCGGCACCAATGAATTGAATTACCACGTGCTTAGCGGTGAAAGAAAATATGGCGAGGAAACCTGCATGTCTGAGAAATAATAAAAAAAAATATTTCGAAGACGTTATGTTTGCCAACACGCATTGGGGCAGCGCGATGGACATTTCCTAGCTCTAAAACCCTCGCAGATATAAGAGGAGGCCGGTGCCCAGCAGTGGGACGTATATAGGCTGTAACTAACAGTAGAACCAGAGTAACCGACAGTGCAATGGATCAGTAACCTAAAGAAGTAATTAACCAGCCAGATAGCTTCCATAACCAAGAACTGATGGGGAAGAAGGTAAGACATGCAGGAAGTCGATGGATGCAGGTGGCTCAGGACAGATAGCTTCCATAACCAAGAACTGATGGGGAAGAAGGTAAGACATGCAGGAAGTCGATGGATGCAGGTGGCTAAGGACCGTGATTTGTGGCATACCTTTGGGGAGGCCTATGTTCAGCAGTGGACTTCTGAAGGGCTGTAAAGATGATGATGATGATGGGGAAGAGGGGTACACGAGAGGCATTCTCGTTGTACAGGTAAGCAAAGTGTAGTCTAGCCACTAGATGGAGTGACGACTTGGTAAGAGATGCAGGAAGTTGATAGACGCAATTCTTTTTATAGAAGAGGGTGCAAACGAGCATGTGGCTCTCCTGATGGTAAGTGACTACCGCCGCCCATGAACAACCGCAACACCAGGGGATTAGCAGGTGCGTTGTCGGCTTTTTAGAAAAGAGTAAGCTCTTTTCAGCATTCCTTCGGGTAAGTTTATATTAAGCAGTGTACTAGTGGAAAATTTCCAAACTCTTAAGCAATTTTCTCTGTCACTTATTAATTTTTTTTGATTTTGGGTTAATTGTAGCAATATGTAGCATAATTAACTGATAAGATAGAACTTAAATGCTGGTCAAATATATGTCCATTTTTTTAAATTTAAAATTCTTCATAAATTTGTAACAGTTCCCTTTTTGTACGATGGTTTGACAAACGAGCACACAGTCCACCTGATGGTAAGTGGTTGCAGTGGCCCATAGACATCTACGTCTATCCTCAATTACGAATCAAAATGCAGATGCGTTGTCGCCCGTGAGTACTAAGATGGAATGCCCTGTTTCCAGTAAAAAGGGTCTCCAGTTCTCTACACTCACCATACCAAACTCAGGAGCATTAAAGTACTATTTTATGCAGGTATTCCGCGAAAGCGTGGTATGTTCCCGGTCAAGCCAACCCATTCGTGTTACAACTATACTACTAATATAACTGCAGCATGGCTCTACCACATACGAATGTAAGCTCTTCTAATGCACATAAGATTTGTCATAAAATTTTACGCTGTGCTGCGGTTTGTCTAAGTATATCAAATTTCTCTTACATTGAGATACAGCCATCTATTAGAGGCCTTTAAATTTTTCTAGTGTTCTCCAGTCTCTTCTTACGACACACACGGGACGAAATGGGGTCGAAGATTCTCTTGAAGCGTCACAAATTGACAGAATTTTATAATGATAATACATAAATGCATTAGACCGAATTTTTCCTTTCATATGAATGAGTGACACATGTTGCTTGACATGTGTAACTAAATGATATACAGAGCTCTGAACAAATGATTCAGAGATCTGAGACTCACATGTTCTACATATAGCAGTAAAAGTTATAAAATCTTGCTTTTACAATAGTACCATTGCATAGAAATCATAAAACTTAAGGCAAACAATTGACACTTAATAGGAGAAATATAAAATCAGGAAACCCTATTTAAGAATTATTTAGATAAGAATTATCTTACTTGGTACAGGTGCCGATGGAGGCGGCATAGCAATTTCATCTTTATTCAATTCTTGTTTGATTTCAGTCATTATTGCCAAGTTTTCCAGGTTCACTGGCTCAGGCAATGAAATTTTCTCTTGTTTTACTGAAAATAAAAATGTATATTTTCAATGAACTGCTCGCCCACAAAGGCCTTTGAGAAAACATTTCCATGTTCATAAAATAAAATTAATTACAATTTAGACATATGATGAAAAATTAAACAAATTGTATGGATTTTATAGTGTTTAATTTTATCTCTTAGTTAAATTACCTTCATTTAAGGTGTAGTGTTTGCGTAAATATTTATCTTTTATAGGATAAGGGTGACAAATGAGCACAGTCCACCTGATGGATGATAACATTATCCCCGATTTTAAATGAGATGCGAAGTCACCCGCGAAGACTAAGATGGAATCCTTTGTTTGTTGTAAAATGGCTCTCCGCTTCCCTACACTCACCATACGCTCCAATTCTCTACACTCACCATAGGAAACACAGCAGTGTTGAGCTGCTATTTTACGCTAGAATTCTGTGAGAGCGTGGAGCCGACCCATTCGTGCTGCAACTACGTATAGTCTACAGTATGGCCCTACCATATATTAAAACACATAAGAAATCACTATAATATATAAAGAATTAAAAGCTAACCTTTAACTAGAGGTATTGGCTCCGTGTTCTCTTTATCGTCATTTTTGCCGCGACGGCTCGACTTCAACTGTCCCTTCTCTATGGAGTCTTCACGACGAAGCTTTTGCGTCAGATTTAAATTCACCTTTGGATAAATTAATTAAAAAATACAGTTATAAGTGCCAAACAATTGTACCACCAGTAGCTGGATAAGTAGAAATGCCTCTAAAGTGAATACTATGCAAGCAAACTCAGGTTTGATTTTCGCTAACATAAATGGATTATTGTAAAGAAACGTAAATGTTTGATGAATAAGAATATATCAAGGGCAAGCTAAAATCCTAAAGAGAAGGTGTGAGAGATCAGCATTGAAATGAGACCTGTGCCAAGACTTGGAACATATGTAGGATGTAATTTTACTATTCCAAGCACTTGGAAATGTGAATCACATTTTGAATTTGACAGATGACTCCATATGAATTGACAGTTTTAAATAGCATTTTGCTGTGACAGTATCACCCTATTTCATGTCGTGAGCATCCATGAGACCAATTACAAAATGTTTGTAAAATCACTGTTTCAAAAATCTTGAGATCTCTAATGGATGACACTATACTTTCCTATCTTATATCAGACTATAAATTCCTGGACGTGAACCTGTCATGTTGTGGGGAAGATTTGATAATTACGCATAGCAGATCGATTGAAGACCACAGTATTACTGGATATTTCACTTCTGATATAAGTGTTGCTGGTTATACTGACATTTTCTCCAAACAACCAATACAGGCTGTATAGAAGTCCATTGCTGAACATAGGCCTCCCCAACGGATTGCCTTGGCAGGTCGGATTGGTAAACGCAGTTTTTATCTGGGAGATGCTCATCTCCTGTTTCATCCACGAGACGATATGGGGTACGAGGTATTATTGGGCATCTTTAAACAGTTAGGGTCATTTCTCCCACACACACACAATACACACACACACACACACAACAGACGCGCACGAATAAGTTGACAGCAACGAATTTATTAAAAAAATAATTTATTTATAAAAAGCAGCAGCGTTACAACTATATAATTACTTCCAAAACTAATATCAATCTTACAGTTAACTTAGACTAGTATTTATATTAAAATATATCTTACTAAGAAGCGATCCGTGCGGTGACGCACGGCTTAATGCCTAATCTTAGGAGTGCTTGTGAAGCAGATATTAGAGGGGTCATAACACTTAACCCGCGCGCACGAGCTCACACACACTTCTTTAACTCTACACATAATACATACATACACTAATTGACATGAAATTTGTAACTACTGTAGTTCACTTTGTTTACTTAATTATAATCTGCTTTGTGAGTCTCTACGCGGGGGAGTTCTGGTGACCAGTAATACAGTTTTTTTTATACCTACATCAGGCACCAATCTCTCACAACTTAGGTACCTGTCTGGCACTTTTGTAAACCTTAGCACTAAGAATAATAATAATATTGTGAAGAGAGCATACATGTTGTTAAGAGAGAATAAATGCACTCATTCATTTATCGGAAGCCATAAGAATTTTCTGGGTTTGGCACAGTCGCCTCTTACAAAACTAACATGATTAAATGAGTTGATGAATACCTTTATGCTAAATAATCTTAGAAATTTAAACAGTTACTATTACTATATACATATCTTTATGATCTATCTATTATATATCAGATTATAGTATCATTTATTAAAAAAAATATTTAATAGCTAGTACTACAATACAGGGTTACTGGTTATTCGAGCTATCCCTGCTAAGAGGTTGTAAGGGAGGTTATTACTGATGAATTAAACCATAAGCTTTCGCCTAGGACATCCCTTTCCGACTCTGGCGTTCACTTCTGCAGCATAAATTTTCTTTGTCACTCTTTCCTCATTCATTCTTTCCACATGACCAAACCACCAAAGCATTCCTTTCTTAATCCTGGCAACAAACATCGTCTTGCAAACCACACTCTTCTCTTATCACACAATTTCTCACCCTGTCATTCAGATTCAGCCCTAACATACCCAGTTTACAAAGTTTCTCTGGGTGACAGGCGTGAGTGTTTATGTTAATTAGACCATAGTCTCTGAGCAAAAGTGAACCAGTTATGAGAAAAATACTTTTAAATTATTTTTTTATTTATCCTTTTTAAAAATTAATAAAAAGTATTGACTGCAATCAAATTTTTACTTTCCAAAATTAGAACTGTCTGTCTACATTAGAAAGTACCAGACGTAAATTTTAATAATTTTAATGAAAGAGTTCCAAAAAAAAAACAAAAGAAAAAAACACTGAAACATTTGGCGTGCGGAATATTTTAAAAAATTGACGTATTATAAGCTTTCTAACAATGTATAAACTTGGGGTCGATTTTATGATTTACCTAAAAAAAAAACGCATTTTAGATATAGTAGAGGTATCGAATTTCTGGGAAAGATTGTTTTACTTAACAATCTTAAACACTTGTTCCTAATGTTTATTGTTCAGTTCGCCACCTGTGATCGTTTAAAAAATCTGGAATTTAAAAATGTTATGATTTCTTATATTTACGTGAACACTACACATTGAGTAATAAAACTACTTTGGCGGTGTTGGGAAAAGGGGAGATCTCCCGCCGGGCAAGGTTTTCTGCCCGGAAAACGGCCAGTTCGGAGCTATTCTATATATTATACTGTTTTTTGATTCAAACCTTTGATAGCGCGATTTAGGCTTCGATGTGTTTCGCTTGTGGCGTGACGACGGCGCCGCCACACTACTTTTACGGATTTTATCGCGTGTAATTTATATGATTTTTAATTCCCGACATTTCGGGTGCTTTCCAGCACCAGTCCCCCGTGACCACGGGTGTTAGAAAGCACACGAAACGTCGGGAATTAAAAATCATATAAACTTAACGCGATACAATCCGTAAAAGTAGTGTTGATTAATGAATGTTAAAAGTAAAGTAAAGTTACAGCCTATATACGTCCCACAGCTGGGCTCAGGCCTCCCCTCATTTCTGAGAGGGTTTAGGGCAAGGAAGTGTCCGCCGCGCTGCCCAAATGCCTGTTGACGAACTTCACATGTCTTCGAAATATTTTTTTTTCTTATTCCTCACACATGCAGGTTTCTTTGAATTCAATTTCTCGCGGGTATCGAACCCGGGTTACTCGCGTTCTGTTATATTTACAGCGAGCGTTAACCACTGAGCTACCACGGCTCTTCTGTTTCTGAATGTTAGTTCAGTTCATACTGCTTGTATCGGTCACACTCTGTCATGAATGTATTTGGCAAATTTTATTTGAGTATAAGTCAAATAACCAGTAAACCTGTATATTTGTATATTTAGTTAGCATAGAAATATACCTCGTATATATATTTCTATGCTAACTAAATATATTTGGTTATTTTACCAATCTTATGGGCGTTACAACAATTACACTGTTCTCACTTAGTATGTTGTTTTCTTGTAGGTCCTATATAAAGTAAAAACAAGTGTAAATTTAAATTGTAATACAAAGATGAGCTGGGCTTGCATGAGGGAAGGCAAAAAGTTTGTGGCATACATGCTGCTAGTACGTCCAAATATTATTCGTAAAACTGTTATTTTCAATTTTTATATGTCGCATTTTAACCCACGAATAAATTTTAATTGAGCATTGAAAAATCTGACCTAAATTAAAATGCATATTTATGTATTATAAGCCAATTACAAAAAAGGTACACATATTTTTGATGTGTTATGCAGTATCTTCGTGAATTCTAAATTTCAATGTTTTTTATTTAATTAAATTGGTCATACTTCAGGGAATGTCTTAAAGGGTAAAGTTTTAATAACACTAATTAGATAACATTCTAGTAGTTACCTTGAGCTTATGATATTTCTTGGTTCACTCCAATGAGTGAACTATTTTAACTTATTATACGAAGTAATAGCCGAATTCAAATAAGTAAAAAGAGTAAAATATCAATTAAGTCCAAAGTCAGAGCTTTAATTATTACATTACAAAATATCCCGGTGTGCTGAGGTCGCTCACCAAAGTTGTTAGTAACATAAAATGTTTAAACTTTTATAAGGCAATATCATGGCTTGAGTAACTAAATAATTCCTGCATACATGCTAATTACGCATTTTAAACGTAGAGCTATAGGAAATAGATAGTTGTAAGCTAGCTAAGATATCCAAGTAATGTCTGGGTTCAAAACTCAGCAACAATTAACAACAGTTATCGCTGGGTATGTTGTTCGCGTCCTTTACTTTATGTTTATTCTGCGCTGTAATTGTCATGAACTGTAATGATTGGTAATGTGTTTACATTCAAAAGTTGTAGCTGCTGATGAGCTCACACGCACTCTTTTAACTCTATACGTAATACATACACTTTTTTATATAGGATAGGGTGACAAACGAGCACACAGTCCACCTGATGGTAAGTGGTTGCTGTGGCCCATGGACATCTACATCTATCCTCTATTACGAACAAAAATGCGAATGCGTTGTTACCCGTGAGGACTAAGATGTAATGCCATGTTGCAAGTAAAAAGGGTCTTCGGTTCTCTACACTCACCATACGAAACACAGCAGTATTAAGCTGCTCTTTTACGCTGGTATTCTGTGAGAGCGTGGTCCTGCCCCGGTCGAGCCGACCCATTCGTGCTACAACTATACTACTAATATAACTGCAGCATGGCTCTACCACGTATGAAACACACTTATTGATGCGAAATTTGTATATATTGTAGTTCATTTTGTTTACTTAATTATCATCTCCGTTCTGATTTGTATTCCTTAGACTGTTGCTCTATACGCGGGGGAGCCCTGGTGACCAGTAATACAGGTTTTTTTATACCTACATCAGGCACCAATCTCTCACAATTTAGGCATGTCTGGCACTTTTGTAAAACTTGGCATTAAGAATAATAATAATATTGTGAAGAGAGATTGAATGCATTCAATCATTCATTTATCAGAAGCTGTAAGAATTTTCTGGGATTTGGCACAGTCACCTCTTACGAAAATCACATGATTAAATGAGTTGATGAACACCTTTATGCTAAATAATCTTAGATATGTCAACAACGGTTACTACTACTATATACATATCTGTATGATCTATCTATTATATATCAGATTACAGTAATATTTATTTAAAAAAATTTATAGCCAGTACTACAATACAGGGTAACTGGATATTCGAGCTATCCCTGCTAAGAGGTTGTAAGGGAGGTTATTACTGATGAATTAGACCATAACCTTTCGCCTAGGACGTCCCTTTCCGACTCTGCCGTTCACTTCTGCAGCATAAATTTTCTTTGTCACTCTTTCCTCTTTCATTCTTTCCACATGATCAAACCACCAAAGCATTCCTTGGGTGTTTTCCAGCACCAGTCCCCTGTGACCATGGGTGCTGATAAGCACCCGATACGTTGGAAATTAAAAATTATATAAATTTAACGCGATAAAATCCGTAAAAGTAGTATCGATTAATGAATGTTAGTTCAGTTCACACTGCTTGTATCAGTCAGACGTTGTCATGAATGTATTTTGCGAACCATTTAATAACTCGACTTCCGGACAGATATATAACTATAGATCGAATAACCAGCAACCATGTACATTTGTGAGGGTTCCATACCTTGTATATATATTTCTATGCTAACTAAATATATTTTGTTATTTTACCAATCTTTTGGGTGTTACAACAATCAGACTGTTCTCACTTAGTACATTGTTTTCTTGTGGGTCCTATACAAAGTAAAAACAAGCATAAAATTAAATTGTAATACAAACATGAAAATAATAAAGATATTCCAGTTTCATTCAAGACAGTCTCCCTAAGCTGGGTTTGTACGAGGGAAGACAAAAAGCTGGTGGCATTCATGCTGCTGGTATGTCCAGAACTCACCACTTACATTAGAAAATATCTCGGTGTGCTGAGGTCTTCCTATACAACTAAAAACACTTCAGTTATTAAACCTGCGCGTGGCACTATGGCAAATATATATCAGTAAGGATCTCTACACTAACGTACGAAACTGCTCTTTTACGCTGGTATTTGTGAGAGCGTAGTTTCCCCAGGAGTTGTGCTACTTTTAGCTGCTTTGCCATAGTTCTTAGATTATAGTTTATTAAATTTTTTTGAGTTTGTTTGCGCTTTCTGTAGAGCTATAGGAAATAGACCGTTGCGAGCTAGCTAAGGTAGCAGCTGCTTCATTAAAGGATATTTTCTGGTCTGATTGGAGGCAGTAAAGATAAGAAAACTGAGCCAAAAAGTGTGATTACAGTGTTCATTTTTATCAATTTTAAATGTTGATAACTAATTAATAATTATAGTACATTCATTCCACGCATTCATCTTATTTTAATTATATCGAATATAAAAAATGTTTCTTTTACTTTCAAGCAAAATACCATTAAATTACTGATTTTTTTAAATTCAATTATAATACTGGTCAAAATAGCGCATTATTTAACTGATTCTTTTTGAAAACATTTTATTATTATGAAAAACAAGATAGAATCTTATGTAATGGAAGTAAGGGGGAGAGGGGCGTCAGAAATCACCAAAATCGTCCTTACGTAATTAATGAAGTACTTTACAATACTTAAGAGTCATGGTAGCTCAGATGGTTAACGCTCGCTGTAAATATAACAGAACACAAGTAACCCGGGTTCGATCCCCGCCGGCACCAATGACATTGTTAATTGCAATTTTAGGTGCTGATTTACTACGTGCTCAGCGGTGATGGAAAACATTGTGAGGAAACCTACATGTCTGAGGAATAAGAAAAAAAATATTTCCAAGCCATGTGAAGTTTGCCAACATGCATTGGGGCAGCGCAGCGGACACTTCCTTGCCCTAATATCCCTCTCAGAAATGATGGGAGGCCTGTGCTCAGCAGTGGGACATATATAGGCTGTAACTTTACTTTACTTTACTTACAACACTCACACATACTTCCATAAAGTTAATTCTCAATAGTTTCAAGCTTCAAAGCTTTAGTATTAAAACCAATAATGGCATCTTACCTGTCGACTAATGATATTTTTTGCTTTCACAGAAGCATTCCTTTTAAGTCTCTTCTCTTGTTCTGGACTTGACATATCATCAACTTCATTCTTGCTGCGTTTCTTTGATGCCCTTTCAGTCTCATTGACTTTTGGGCTTATTTTTTCCACAATATTTGCAGTTTCATTATTACTTGATTGCGGCATTGGTTTATCATCTGGAGTTTTGTTTGCTTCCGCTGTAATAATAAGCTTATTAGAGATTTTTCCTCAAATTTGAATTTCTATAAATTGTTCACAACATAAACATAAATCTATAGAATTCATTATTTAGTGTAAATTTCTACCTCTTCTCTTTTTAACATGTCCCTAATCTATACAAATAAGTAATATTACAGTATCTGTCTGTAATAATGAACTAACTGGCTTCAATGAAGCTCAATTTATTTTTCAAGTTAATTGCATGCTAATAAAAAATAAAATACTTGATTTTGTTTTTGTCTGTCTGACTTCTGTGTGAGATAATTATCAGAACAGCTGAACCGATAATGATGAAACTTTACCAACAGATAGAAAGCAATGCTGTGAGGGACCTAGGTTATATTTCATCTCAAAACATAAACATTATTTCAAGAGGAAGGATAAAATAAATGGTGTTATCTTAAATCTAAATAACACCACATTAATAGATCTTATTCAGGCGAAACTGGGGCTGATAGCTAGTATGGTATATTTTGATTGAAGAGCACCACTTTTTCTCGTTGTAATTAACTGAACTATAAAAACCATTAGATATGGTAGAGTTATGTTGCAGCTATATTACGGTGTTGCACGAATGGGTCAGATCGACCAGGGAAGGACCATGCTTTCCCAGAATTGTTGGGTTGTTGGGTTCCTTATGGTTAGTGTAAAGAATTGGGGAACCTTTTATAAGGCATTCCATCATAGTCACCATGGATGACACTGCATCTGAATTTTAATTATTAATTAAGGATAGATGTAGATATCTATGGGCCACAGCATCCACTAACCATCAGGCAGACTGTGAGTAAGCTTGTCACTCTAATTCTATAAAAAAAGAAGATATTACATATGCAGTATCATGCTAAAATAATATTGATAATTTAAAACATGTCTCAAGTTTAAAATGTCTTTAAACTAGGTACAATAAACAACACAGATTATAAGCACTGAACTTTACTTGCGCTGTAAATGTTTTAAGATCTGTTTGGTGATTTGAGTTAAAGCATGGGCATGGCATAACAATCTCCTAGATTTATCGTTGGTCATTTGGTAATCAATGTTTGGTGAAAGTAACATAATATAGGTACAAAAAAATAATTTATTTGGTAAAAAATGAACCTGCATAAACAAGCCCAACTAAAATGCTCAAAATTTATAAAGAACTTTCAACATGCTATTTTACTGTTTGATGTAAAGGAGGCGAGAGGTGTGTGAGGATCATGCCAAATAGAAGTCCTTAGTCTTTGCCCAACACCACCACTTTGTTTATGTATTTGTCTTATTCCAAAAATATGTATAGACGTCCTAGGCGGAAGTTTGTCGACCAAATTGGCGATATACTAAAAATGGGCCAAATTAAGAGTACCCTTAAGCGACGAGCATGTATGCGTAGGTATATGGATGTGGAAGAGGCGAGAAAGGTATGTCAGGATCGTGCTAAATGGAAGTCTGTAGTCTTTGCCTACCCCTCTGGGTGACAGGCGTGAGTGTTTATGTATGTATGTATTATATTGTAGGAATCAAGAACAGAACTTGAAATAACTCTAGGACAAAAATGTATAAAAGCTGATAACTTGTTGCGGTATAAAAATTACCTAACTATAGCTAACAAAAATAATTATTCAAACATATGTATGGAGCTTTAAATTTTTACTACATAGATTATGGGCAAATAACAGTGTAGTGTGTGGTAGCTTTTCCTTTGCATGGCATCTTTTAATTAACATTTGTGAGTACTTACCATCATTTTTTTGAAATATGTTTTAAAAAAAAGTACCACTGAGTTTCTCGCTGGTTTTTCCCAGGACAGAGGTATTTTCCGAACCAGTGGTAAATAAAAAAATGAGTTTCAATAAAAATTATGTAATAATCTATATTATTATATTCTATTCTATTCATTATTAATTAATCTAATATCAAAGACTTGGATAAAATTAATAAAAATAAAATCAGGGTTGTATTTGAAGGTTTTCAAGTACTACGCTTTCATTTGAAGTTTTCATGGTACCGTAGACAAAGAAGTCATCATGTTAATTTATTATATCACATAAACATGATAACTATTTTTTTGCCAAATTGAGCAAAACTAAGTACATAGTTTGTTGTCCTGTACAAAAATTAAGAGTAAACAAGAATAATAAAAGTACATTATAAAATAATGTAATTGAATTTCTTATAATTTTATTCTACATTTAAAACATTTAAAATACGTAAAACATTACGAAACATTACGAAAGTGGCTATCAGTACTAATAGGGCGACGCTTGAGGCACAGATTGTGGGTGCACGGGTGGAGGTAACGGCAATTTTGGAATGAACAAGTAGTATATAATATGATGAAAATGCAGTTATCTGTATATTCAGGATGTAGTCAAGATTTATTGTTTATCTCTATATATAAAAATCAAATGATGTCCTTTAGTCTCCCTAAAACTCGAAACTGACTCATCCGATTTTAATGAACTTTTTTTGTGTTTGTGTGATTTGTATTAACGATTTGACCTAGTAGATAATCCTGTTGTTGAGATCTAGAAATCACCCATGCGAAGCCGGTGTGGTCGCTAGTTAGATATTAAAAATGCCATTGGCATTTGGTTTTATGAACTTTTAAGTGAAGATAAACAAATATTTCTGCAGAGAAAAAATTGTTATTAATAGCTGGAAACAGAAACTTTTTATTCAATGTAGATTGGCAGCGTTTAGCAGAAAAACTGCTAGCAAGCGCTTGTAAGCAAAATGGCGAAACTAAACAGTTTTCGGCCAGGACACGTTTGCTAACTTCAGTAGCGCTGACACAATCTGCCATTTTGATTATTTAATTTGTTCGTTTTGAATTAGAGTTTTATAAGTTGTTTTGTGCAATATTAGTTTTAAGTAATATAGTGACATGAATAAACATATTATACATGTTATTAAAATTCATGATTGGTAAGTTTTTAATATGAATACTTTACGAACATATATTTAAATTAGGTTAGGTTCCCCGGTTAAAAATAATTTCGTGTCCTAGAGGAAAATAGCTACTTATAATTTGACAGCGCTTACAGCTTACGATCGCCATTTTGCTTACAACTGACACCCAATATAACAATACTTATTGAAAGTCACTTTTTTCATTTACCACTGATTTGCAAGAAAAACCTCTTTCCTGGGAAGAACCAGCAAGAAACCAAGTGGGAGTATTTTTTTCCAATAATAGCTTATTGTATCATGTATACAATTAACAACACAAGACAAATTAGAAATAGCTTGGTAGCAATCATCCTTCCCAGGGGTTATTATCATCCATAAATTCCTTAATATTATCATAACCCTTTTTATACAAACTTAGTTTAATAACATATTTGAACTTTGTGTATGACAAATTTAGTATATTTTATGGGATTTTGTTGTAAAAGCATATACTCGGTGGAGTAGAGTAACTGGTACTACTAGCTTGTGTCTGTTCCTAGTATTTACAGAATGAATATCACTTATTTTCGCAAAACTAGTAATATTTTTGTGTACGTACATTACATTTTCATAAATGTATTGAGAGGCCAGAGTATTATTTTTAATATGTATTTAATATATTAATTTTCTTAAATTTGTCTCAGTGACTCTTTTGGTTTTAAATTATATATTGCTCTAATGGCCCTCTTCTGTAAAATAAATATAAATTTCAGTGTCAATCGCGTGCCCCCATAGCAAAATACCATACGACATAATGCTATGGAAATAACTAAAGTAAACTATTCTAGCTGTTTTAACACTGGTAAGAGTTCCAATCTTTTATACAACATATGCTGCAGAACTAAGTCTGCTAGCTAGTTTTGATATATGGGGGAGCCATTGAAGCTTTTAACATGCATAAAGTAAATACAAATATAATTTTGTCTGATATGTACGATTAATAATGCTTACCATCATCTTCGTTAATACTCTGGAGTGTCGGGTTAGTCTTCTCCTTCTCCCGCGCTATCCCCTTAGTATTTAGAAAATCTTCTTCAAACTTATCAAGACAATCAAACGCTACCTGCAAGTATGTAAGATTCTTCACTTTTACACTATTTTAATACAATAAGAATACAACTAGAATACTAAAGCACTGATTTAAGACTTAAAATGAGCTATGAAGCACACCAAATGACGGCGGTTTAATTTAACACCTAATAAGTATACCTTAAGATCATCATTGAAATTTGTTGTGATAGATTTAGATATCTCAAAGATTTTAGGTAGTAACTCACTAAAAACTGACATAATTAAAATGAGAATTCCACTTTTACTAAAGTTTCGTAAATTTGACAAACGCCATAAAACACTACACAATCGAAAACCGTTTGAAATTGAAATGCAAAACTGCCAACATCCAGATCAGATTTATTTTTTTATTTTTATTAACTGGCTTTACAGCTCTGGGTTCTAGCCCTTCTGAGCCTAAATCAGATTTGAAAACATACTAATCAAAGAGTATATATTATAAGTGTATAAAACAGACTAAGAGCGTAGAAACAGATTAATATTGTGGTGCGTTCACTTAATTAATTCCTAGACAATAAATTGAATTTATATCTAACAATCACTGACCTCTATATATACAAGTACGCTGGACTGGCTATACCATACAAAATGACTGTGCCAATTTGAAGCGCCGCTAAAGGATGTCTTGAAAAATAAAATTGACGTAATATGCCAAAGTCTGTTGTCCTATTTATATTGATTTATTTCATAAGTCTTTATTTCGAACTTTTAAACTAAAAAACGAAAGTATTTTGTTGTTAGATTGTGTATAATATTAGTTACATAATAAGAATTATTTTTATTAATAATGAGAGTGTGCGTAATCTGTAAAACTCGTTACCTAAAGGAAAGTGGTATAACATTTCACAAGTAAGAATTTGCAGCTAATATTTGCTGTTAACAAATTAAAACTATTTGATAATATAAGTACTTAAAAATTTGTTACTAGTCTTAATATCATATATACCAACATGTTTGGGTGTATATTACCGAGTTTTGATAAACAATAAAATTAAATAGGGTTGTCGAGTTCCTTGTCTATAATACTTATCGATGTTCTTTCCTACCCATATGTGTTAACAAAAAAAGTCGCCAACAACGGATGATTATCAAATGTTTATTAAGTAATTAAACAAATTAATTAAATATCAAAGGTTTCCAACTGAACCTAGACTAAAATTATGGCTTAAAAGCATAAATATTGTGTATTGGCGTCCGAAACAAAATGATCATGTTTGGAACAAATAGATTATTATTTCGAATGTTTTTTATTTCTTATTTTCTCATTTTCCACCAAACTCAAGGGCCATAGCCAAGTGTCGAAAAATCGCCTGATCATGTCGAGCCACGTTGGATGTGTGTTAGTGGGCTGCGGCTAGAGGAGATTCCTCTCCCTGGACCGCTGTAGTCGAGGTGGAGTCGTAAGGGAAGAGGAGTGTTGGTATGGCGATTGGCGATGCACCACTTGACTATCTTTCGCGACTTTGGTGAGGCTGCACCACTTGATACTTCCAAGTGCTCGTTTTTCCCTGGCTCCATTCTCATATCGGGCTCGGGAAGTTCGTAGTGCAGCTCGTATCTCTATAAATGTTTCCTCGGTTTAAGATCTTTGTAGAATATTTAGAGACGATACCAGGAGACCCAACAGTACGGGTTTGGTTGTTTGAGAGAGAGAGAGAGAATAAAGCTTTAGTGTGGGATACTACTTGCGAACACATCTCAGAGGTACCACGTCTAAACCAGGGGTGGCATTAGAGGCAACTGAACTAAGTAAATAGCCCAGAGTATCTGGAAGAGAGAGAGAGAGATAAAGCTTTAGTGTGGGATACTACTTGCGAACACATCTCAGGGGTACCACGTCTAAACCAGGGGTGGCATTAGAGGCAACTGAACTAAGTAAATAGCCCAGAGTATCTGGAAGATAAGGACATATTAGTGCAATTTGCTGTAGAGACTATTGGTCCGTACTGCCGACTGATCATCGCTGCTGATAATAAGAAGTTGTTTAGTTTGTTGTTTCCTCGCTTGAAGGCTAAGTATAGCCATTCCGTGAGGAGTGAGGACACGTAGCCAGCATTCTTGGGACGATACCACAGAAAGTACGACTTTATGATAATTTCAGTTATTTTTTTTATATTGTAATTTTAATTTCGAAAATGACGTTAATAACTGATAACTATGTAATTCAAAGTTTGTATTTTTTATATTATCTTGCTAACTCGTACCCGGCTGCCATAGCTGCCGCAGAAGAAATAATTGTGGAAATATCGTTAAAATGTGGAACAGTTATATTGTATAATTAGGAATGAAAATAAAATCATTGAATTAGAATGATATATAACTTTCTATAACTTTCAAATAAATAGTCGGTATAATACGCACGCCACCTAGTGTCAGTTAATTGTACCATGCGTATAATCTTCGCACAAGTGCAACCAATAAGTTGACTAAATTTGACCGCAATCTGATGAACGGTATGGCATCGTAGAAAGTACGAACAAACATAAATTTTTAAATAGTAGAAAATATTTTACTGTCTATAGACAAACCTGTAGTGGATTATAATAGGCGTTATTATAGCAGCTGATTTGTTTTTTATAATACCAGAACTAAATGAACGGTTGACAATAAATTATTTTAGAAATTATGTTTTTATTTTTATTTTGTGTAGTTAGTTTAATCTTAATAATTTATAGTTGAATGGTCTAAGGGCTACAATGGCTATCCGAGTACAGAACCAGAGTACAAAACTAGTCCAACTGTAGAGATGTGTAAGACAGGGTGTCGTAATATCCCCGAAATACTTTACCGCTGCATTGGAAGACGTTTTCAAGATACTGGACTGAAAAGGAAACGATATCAACGTCAATGGCGTGTACGTCACTCACCTTCGTTTTGCCGACAGTATAGCCCTTAATGCAGAATCGCTGGAGGACCTACGCACTATGTTCAATGACCTCAATCGTGTCTCCCAACGGATAGATCTTAAGATGAACATGGACAAAACAAAAGTCACGTGTAATGTCCATGTCACACATATGCCGGTGGTTTTTGGGAGCATTTAGCTGAGGTTGTTGACGAGTATTTTTACTTGGGACAAATAGTCCGACTAGGTAAGTTCAAATTCGACCGACAGGTCAATCGACGGATTCAACTCGGCTGGGCAGCGTTCGGGAGATTAGATTAGAGCACACATCTTCTCGTCAGGAATACCTCAAAACTAGATTATACAACCAGTGCGTGTTGCCAGTGATGACCTCGATGACGTATGAGGAAGCTCGAAGTCGCTCAGCGAGCTATGAAGGGGGCTATGCTCAGGGGGTTTAAACTTAGGAATGAAGATATCTGCAGCAGAACCAGAGTGACGGACACCGCCCAATGGATTAGTAAGCTGAAGTGGCAATTGACCGGCCATATAGCTCGAAGAACCGAATACCGATAGGGAAAAGAGGTTCTCGAGTGGCAGCTTCGTACCGGCAGGTGAAATGTAGGATGTTCCCCCACTAGAGAGTCAAAAACTTGTAAGACATGCAAGAAGTTGCATGCAGATAGCTCAGGACCATGCTTTGTGGCATTCCTTGGGGGAGGCCTAGGTTCAGCAGTGGACTTGTGAAGGGTTTTAATGATGATGAATGATAATGGCATTATATTAATATGATACATAAATAGAATGGACGTTACGGGTAGAGTCCATCTATCCATAGAGTCCATTCTATTTATTTAGGTATAGGTAGGGTATAGAATTTTTATCGATATAATTTGGTACACTGTCTTATCCCTATTATTAGTTCCGTGGACGTGCACTTCTGCTGTCAACGCCAAAATGGCGGAAATCAAATCGCTTCAGCATGTCACGTGTATAGCCAGTCCAGAGTACTTGTATATAGAGGTCAGTGTCTAACAATCACTGACCTCCATATTATATACAAGTACGCTGGACTGGTTATAAACCATGACATGATGAATCGATTTGATTTCCGCCATTTTGGCGCTGACAGCGGAAGTGCACGTCCACTTGAACTAATAATAGGGATGAGACAGTGTACCAAATTATGTCGATAAAATTCTATACCTTACCTATACCTAAATAGAACGGACTCTATGTGTGGATGGACTCTACCCGTAACGTCCATTCTATTTATGTATCATATTAATGTAATGCCATTATCATTAATCATCATTAAAGCCCTTCACAAGTCCACTGCTGAACATAGCCTCTCCCAAAAATGCCATAAAGCACGGTCCTGAGCCACGTACATCCATCAACTTCCTGTATGTCTTACCAGGTTTTGATTCCATCTAGTGGGGGAACTCCTACACTTCACCTGCCGGTACGAGGCTGCCACTCGAGAACCTTTTTTCCTCATGGGTATTCGGTTCTTCGAACTATATGGCTGGTCAATTGCCACTTCAGCTTACTAATCCATTGGGCGATGTCGGTCATTCTGCTTCTGCTGAAGATATCCTCATTCCTAAGTTTGACTCCCTGAGCATAGCCTTTTTCATAGCTCGCTGAGCGACTTCGAGCTTCCTCATACGGCCAGCAGTGAAAGACCTCGTCTCAGATCCATAGGTTATCACTGACACTGACTGACGAGAAGATGTGTTACAATCTCCCGAACGCTGCCCAGCCGAGTTGAATCCGACGATTGACCTGTCGGTCGAAGTTGAACTTACCTAGTCGGACTATTTGTCCCAAGTAAAAATACTCGTCAACAACTTCAGCTAAGTGCTCCCAAAAACCACCGGCATAGGTGTGACATGGACATTACACATGACTTTTGTTTTGTCCATGTTCATCTTAAGACCTATCCGTTGGGAGACACTATTGAGGTCATTGAACATAGTGCGTAGGTCCTCCAGCGATTCTGCCATAAGGACTATATTGTCGGCAAATCAAAGGTGAGTGACGTACACGCCATTGACGTCCATACCGTATCCTTTCCAGTCCAGTAGCTTGAAAATGTCTTCCAATGTAGCGGTAAAGTATTTCGGGGATGTTACGTTACCCTGTCTTACACAACTGTGTAACTGTGTAATCAGTGACAACAATGAAATGGCTAAAATGAAGTAATGTAAAATATATATTTTACTAGCTGACCCAGTAGACTTCGTACTACCTCAATCGATATATAAAAATTTGTATGAAATGAACTTAAAACAAACAAAAGGAATCTGTAATTAATAAAAAAATTCTCGGTATGAATGAAGTTTTATTATTATTTTTCATTAATTACACA